ACATAATGTACTGTAATGAACTCATTATTTATTTATATTGGCGTTAAACCTACTGTATTCCAACTTCCCTATGGTTCATACCCCCCGCTACTAGCCATAGATGCATCAAAATAAGCAAACAACACATGAAAAACAGAATCTGTCAAAAACAGAACAGTCTGTAGCAATCTGTAACTTTCGAATACTTCTGGAACTCCAAAAAATCTAAAATAAATTGGTGGACGATAAATTTGTCTATTAATCATCTGCAAAAAGAATCAACTAAAAAGCACACTCCAGCAAAACATGGCAGCTAATCTCGTGAGTGCTAAAGTTTCTGTTTTTTACAGCAAGATCATATAAACTTCACCCAAGTCTTCCCAAAGGTTCTACTTGGAACAAACACTAATTAAAACATAAAACCACATCTAAATAGAAGCCAGATGAATTATTTATTACTAAACAGAAGCAAAAAGTAAGAAACAAAAATAAAATCGGGTTGCCTCCCAACAAGCGCTATCATTTAACGCCCCTAGCTAGGCATAAAAGCGAGAATAGATCTAAGTAGTGCCATCTTTGGCATTCAATTCTTCAATAGAGCACTTACAATCCTTAGGAGTTTCTTTCTTTTTAGCAATGATTAAACTCCTAGGCAAGAAATCAAGAAGTTCGTGTGTAGCAAAAGGTTCCTTAATGATAGCGAGAAAATTGGGATGAACACTTATTGATTTGAGATCGACACTTTCCTTACTAGAAGGTTCACCCTTATTTTTAGGAACATAAATAACCTTGGCAATTTTTGTAGGAGGAGTTGGGGTATTTTTCACAGATGAAAATCCAGACCCTAAGTTAGTGATAATGTCCTCCAGTTTACCAATTCTTATAGAATCTAGATCTATTCTTTCATTAACTATAGTTTCTTTTTCTTCAAAAAAATTCAAAGTAACTCCAACCCTAGATCCATATTGGGTAATTTGATTGTGGATCTTTTTATCCAAATTTTTAATTAACTCAACAGTGGCAACTTTATTTCAATAATTTCAAGCCTTTGCATCACATGTTCCAAAGTTAAAATAGTTCCCTTAACCAAAAGAGGGGGTGGACCAAACAAATCTAACATGGCCTTATAAGCATCAAAAGTATGGATACCCAAGAAATTCCCTCCGGTAATGGTATCAAGAATATATCCATTCCAATGAGTAATGCCTACATAAAAATTGCGAAGATGAACGGAAGTAGATTGCTTCCTAGCAGATCTATTTTGAGCATTGCAAATTCTATGACAAGCATCTTTTAGATTTTCTCCCTCCCTTTGTTTAAAATTAAGAACTTCATGATCGGGAGTACTAACAATGATAGGAGGACTAGCCATGAGAACGAAGATAAACTGGCACACAAGCACACAAGAGGCAAGCGAAAAAAGAGAGGTGAACGGAAAAGAGAGGGCGAATAAAACGGCAAGGGTGAAGTGGGGGAGAGGAAAATGAGAGGCAAATGGCAAATAATGTAATGCGAGGGAGATGAGTTCGTGATGGATACTTGGTATTTCTTGACTTGTGAGAAGACCTCCCCGGCAACGGTGCCAGAAATCCTTCTTGCTACCTCTTGAGCATGCGTTGGTTTTTTCTTTGAAGAGGAAAGGTTTATGCAGCAAAGTAGCGTAAGTATTTCCCTCAGTTTTTGAGAACCAAGGTATCAATCCAGTAGGAGGCTCCTCAAAAGTCCCACGCACCTACACAAACAAACAAGAACCTCGCAACCAACGCGATAAAGGGGTTGTCAATCCCTTCATGGTAACTTGCAAAAGTGAGATCTGATAGAGATAATATAATAAGATAAATATTTTTGGTATTTTTATGATATAGACTGGAAAATAAACATGCAAATAAAAGTAGATGGAAAACTTATATGATAAAAGATAGACCCGGGGGCCATAGGTTTCACTAGTGGCTTCTCTCAATATAGCATAAGTATTACGGTGGGTGAAAAAATTACTGACGAGCAATTGATAGAAAAGCGCATAGTTATGAGATTATCTAGGCATGATCATGTATATAGGCATCACGTACGTGACAAGTAGACCGACTCCTGCCTACATCTACTACTATTACTCCACACATCGACCGACTCCTGCCTGCATATAGAGTATTAAGTTCATGAAGAACAGAGTAACTCATTAAGAAAGATGAAATGATGTAGAGGGATAAACTCATGCAATATGACATAAACCCTATCATTTTATCCTCGATGTCAACAATACAATACGTGCCTTGCTGCCCCTGCTGTCACTGGGAAAGACACCGCAAGATTGAACCCAAAGCTAAGCACTTCTCCCATTGCAAGAAAGATCAATCTAGTAGGCCAAACCAAACTGATAATTCGAAGAGACTTGCAAAGATAACCAATCATACATAAAAGAATACAGAAGAGATTCAAATATTTCTCATAGATAAACTTGATTATAAACCCACAATTCATCGAATCTCGACAAACACACTGCAAAAGGAGTTACATCAAATAGATCTCCAAGAAGATCGAGGAGAACTTTGTATTGAGATTCAAATAGAGAGAAGAAGCCATCTAGCTAATAACTATGGACCCGAAGGTCTATGGTAAACTACTCACAACTCATCGGAGAGGCCTTGGAGATGATGTAGTGGCCCTCCATGGTCGATTCCCCCTCCGGCGGAGAGCCGGCGAAGGCTTCAAGATGTGATCTCGCGGATACAGAAGGTTGCGGCGGTGGAAATAGTTTTTCATGGTGCTCCTGGATGTTTTTGGGGTACGTGCATATATATAGGAGGAAGAAGTAGGTCGGTTGACGCTCGAGTGGCCCACGAGGGTGGGGGCGCGCCGGGCACCCTCGTAGCCGACTCGTTTGTTGCTTGACGTCCACTCCAAGTCCCCTGAATTGCGTTTGTTCCAAAAATATCGCTCCTGAAGGTTTCATTCCGTTTGGACTCCATTTGATATTCCTTTTCTTTGAAACACTGAAATAGGCAAAAAAACAGCAATTCGGGTCGGGCCTCCAGTTAGTAGGTTAGTACCAAAAATGATATAAAAGTGTAAAGTAAAGGCCATAAACATCCAAAACGGGTAATATAATAGCATGGAACAATAAAAAAATTATAGATACGTTGGAGACGTATCACCGGGCATGTGCTTCGGTGAGTGCACCAACACGGTCGGAGGGCACCTATACCGGTGCCCGCGTGGCGCCCAAGGCGACCCGCACATAAGAAATGGTTGCATCAGATCTTCCGTATGTGAGCAAAAACAAATAAAATTAGGAAAAAACTAACGCCCACACGTGTGACATCTTGCACATCGCCCACACGCCTCCTTTTGCACTTATTTTGCCACGTGTGAACAGATGACATCAGCAGGAATCTTTTTGGTTTTCGGCTTAATTTTTTTATTTTCTTAATTAAAAAATCAAATTAAAAATCTGTTTTCACCATTAAATTCGTCTCGACGAGATCTTCAAAATTAGACAACATGTTGATATGTTTCGATGAAATTTTTTGCCCAAAAGTTGGCATGATGTTTATACTGTAGTTGCCATAGTGCTTAAACTAAAGTTGCCAGATGGTAATTTCGGTTTGTAGACCATGGCAATTTTAGTATTTTGATGATGGCAACTCCAGTACTTTGACCATGAAAATTATTTTTTGTATGAACCATGGCAATTTTAAATGCATGTATCATGGCAATTTTAGTTTATGGTTCATGACAAGTCTAGTTTCTTAATTCCCTGTTTTATAATACATCAAAATTTACTTTTATATGTAGCAGAAAATAGCTGAAACATATCATGACAACTTCAATGTAAACACAATGGCAATTCATGTGCAATAGACATGGCAACTTTTAACCCAAAAGAAATTCGTCGAAATATATTGATATGAGATCTATTTTCGAAGATCTCGTCGTGAGGGATTTAGTGGTAAAAATGGATCTTCAATCGGATTTTTCATATAAGAGATAAAACGTTATAAAAACTGAAAATCCAAAAAAATTCCCACATGCATGCATGCGGTGACGTGGCGTAATCTTTGTGTTATAGGGCATGTGGGCTGGTTTCGCCCCCACCACACATGTGGGCGTTAAGGTTGGCCTAAAATTATGAGTCAGAGATTGCATGGGTCATCATGCTCTGCTTTGTATCTAGAGATTCTTCCTTAACAACAAAGACGCATTATTTGTGCTCATTCTACAGGTTTAAGTGTCGGCATTGGAGTTGGCAGTGGAGCAGCCCTTCTAATCATGGTACTTGGTGCTATTTTGATGACCCGAAAGATGAAGCAATGGAGGGGGGAAATGCTCAAAAAGAAATTCTTCAAGCAAAATCAAGGGCATCTGCTGCAACAATTGGTGTCTCAGAAGGTGGACATAGCCGAGAGGATGATCATCCCTTGGTGGAGCTACAAAAGGCAACAAACAATTTCGACAAAGCTCGCGAGATCAGTGGAGGAGGGCACGACACGGTCTACAAAGGGATCATGTCAGACCTGCATGTCGTGGCGATCAAGAAGTCCAAGGTCGCGATCCAGAGGGAGATCGACGAGTTTATAAATGAGGTAGCCATCCTCTCGCAGATCAACCATCGAAACATGGTGAAGCTCTTTGGGTGTTGCCTTGAGACGGAGGTGCCTTTGCTGGTGTACGAGTTCATCTCCAATGGGACCCTTTACCATCATCTTCATGTCCATGAACCCACGCCATCCCTGACATGGGAAGATCGGCTAAGGATCGCAACCGAAACTGCGAGAGCTTTGGCCTACCTTCACTCGGCCGTGTCGTTCCCTGTAGTCCACAGGGATATCAAGTCCCAAAACATTCTGTTAGATGGCACTCTCATAGCAAAGGTGTCAGGCTTTGGAGCTTCGAGGTGCGTTCCGGTCAATCAAACAGAGACCGCAACCACTATCCAAGGGACATTTGGGTACCTAGACCCCTTGTACTTCTACTCAGGACAGCTCACCGAGAAGAGCGACGTTTACAGCTTCTGTGTCCTTCTCATGGAGCTTTTGACAAGGAATAAACCATGCTCATATCAGTCATCCGAGGAGGAAACCCTTGTCGCATATTTCACCACTTCGCTAGCAGCAGGCAAGCTGGTTCGCGTGCTAGATCCTCAGGTCGTTGAAGAAGGCGGCAAGGAGGTTGAAGAGGTGGCTGTGCTGGCGGTGGCATGCGTGAGGATTGAAGGAGACCACCGGCCAAGCATGAGGCAACTGGAGTTGACACTTGAGAGCCTTGGGGCCTCACATGATAGCTTTGTGATGCATGCCATGGATGTGCTGAAGTATCCAGTGATTGAGGGTACAAACATGGAAGAAACAAGCCGGCAGTATAGCTTGGAAGCAGAGTACTTGTTGTCATCAAGGTACCCTCGGTAGTGAATAAAATTCTTGTGTGATCAGTTTAACTTGAAAACTGATGACTCCATAATGGTATATAAACTGTTTTACGTTTTTCATCCTAAAAGAAACAACGAGAACTGATATATAAGTCCATACCTTGTGGTCTTGTGGAATTGCATAGTTTGGAACTTTGCATGTCTGCCTTAATCTCATTTGTTTTCTCACTGCTCTGACAAAAAAGAGAACTTGCATTAGTGCAACAGACATACAAGCTCTGAAGAATATTGCATTTTCATTGAAAATGCACTTGACAGGGGTTCAGAACAAAAGAGGTTCAGAACAATGAATTCTGGAGTGGTGCACGCATAAAGAAAAAAGAGGTTCAGAACATTTTGATTAAAGCATCAAATGAATTCTGGAGTGATGCACGCATAAAGAAAAAAGAGGTTCGGAACAAAAACTCCAAAATAAAAATAACTTGGCTTGATAGGCAACACAACATAAAGAAGAAAAGACCATCTGCATCTCCAGGAAGAAAAGAAAAAAGTAGGCTCCTTCTTGGCTAGCAGAAAGAAAAAGAGAACACGCCAACACATAATTATTCAGCAAGAAGAAAAAAGGATTTGAACCAAATGAAGTAGGCTCTCAAGGATACGAATTCATGACAAGTTTGACCGATCTTTTGACATGTCCTAGTGTTTAAGTCTTGAAGATATAGATGAGGGCACATTCTCACCATGATTAAATGATTTACTTCTATTTTGTGTGCCACTGTTCTAGATATTCTTTGTGCCACTGTATTTTCAGAAATAATACACTGAATATTTTCAGAAATAATACACTAAGATTCAGTCCTAGATATATTTTGTGTGCCAGTAACGAATGTCCCCAGTCAAAATTATGAATTTTTTAGGTTCATTTGTATTTCGGATAACTCATAACTCAAGTTAAGATCCAAATCATGCCGAGATGTTAGGATTTAATTTGTCAAACTGGACGGAGCAAGGGGGCTGTGATTCAATTTGGTTCCAAACTGAAGAGAGCAAGGGAATTTAATTTGGTTTCAAACTGAAAAGAGAAGAGAACGCTTAACAGCGAAGCAGCTTCAGGGTGGGTTCGTTGGACAGTCAGCAGATGGTAGAAAAAAAGAAAGATATCAGGCAAAAATCTACTCCCTTCGTTCGGAATTACTTGTCTCGGAAATGGATGCAATTTAATACTTCCGCTTCATATAGAAAAGAAGCCGCGACAAGGATTCTGATTAGTACATCAGATGCACCATTTGCTAACCAACAGTATCTTTTTTCTGCTAGTCAATAGCGCTTCAGGAAAACAAATAGGGATGTGATTCAAATCATCCGACTGATTTGTTGTCTCCCGTCCACTGCTTCGCTCATGCGACGCGTGCCTCACGTGAGTTGGTGTCCCTCCGTGGTGCAAGGTCGGCTGCCGCGCGCCCTCGCTGCTACAAGCAGAGCATGGCTATTTGTAAGCCATAGTGATGCCCGACGACGTTCGCAACTTGGGGTCGTGGACGAGCCGCCACCGACCATCACCGTCTGCCTCCTTGTTGCAATTGCAACGGCGGAATTGCAAATGGTGATGGTGTTGCTGCGACATGCGTCGGGAATGGCGGCAGCGTCGTCTTCTGAAACATCATCTTCATTTCAAAATTTGTTGCAACGTCACATATGTTTCAACAATGTGAAGACTAATTTTTTTTATAAAAAGACTTCTATTGTAAAAAAAAATTCTGCAACAAGATCTCTCTTGCAAAGATTTCTGCAACAGCAGCTCTGTTGCACTAAGGGAGGATGCTGCTTGGCCGCATGATGAAGCCATATCCGACAACTTGCGACTCGACCAATCTTTTAAAAAGATCAGTCGACCGACGCATAGCACGCCCCTTGTTACCTCAAATAGATACATGTTCTCATCCTTGTGCAAGATTACAAAAATTGAGGAAACATTGGAGTGTGATACAGCAAATAACACAATCCATGCCTCATATATTATCTAGTACACAAATTCGAGCAATCTGAAAAAAGTACACATATTCAAGTGTATGATGATGTGGCACGGCCAAGAGCATGAGTGACAAGGATGTGCCGAAGGGGATGAAGGAGTACCATGTAAGATGGCACGTAAGTCAGGCATGACAGTCTGGTGGCTCAGGATCCCACGCTGTTGGATCCTACTGGCACGCCTAACCAGCTCGGTCTTTTTGGAAGACTAGCAAGATGCCCATGCGTTACACGGAAGTGCGTTACACGGAACATGAAGATGCATTTGTATGAGTAGTTTATCTTGTGGGAGAAAAGGATAAACGAGGGAAGGCCGTATCTGCAAATATGGAGAGGAGTGCGGGTAAATTGTCATAGTTTCTTTCCTATCCGTTAAATATAGATCGGGCGGTCTATATTGCAGGATGACAGACACACCATTATAACGAACTCTGCTTTTTATAATAGTAGAGATTAGGCTAGCGCTTTCAGAAGCCTCGGGATTTCTGTGGATCTGGTGAAACCCATCGGCATGCCGCATGCAGGATTGCAACGTGCACATGCACAAAGACGACATGTTCTTGGTTAGCCTATTAGAGGGCATTTCGGCTGCAGTGTCCCGGCGGTGTTGACGAGTGATCTATGCACGACAAACATCTACCCCAAATCAGCATACCTCACATATCTGTTCACATGTTCAGATCTTCGCCCGACCAAAATGACGCACGAGACAAAAAGAGGTTGCAAGTGTCAAAACCCAAGACAGAGTGTACGTTTAGCAAAGGGGTCAGGCCGTGGTTCCACTGGTTCCAAAAAACAAGCGGTGCTCATCAGGAAGTAATGCCTAGCGCGTGTAGGCGACATATATCCGATGAGGCTCTGCAGGCCTGCTGGAACTCTTCTCGTACCCATTGACAGACTCTCACACGGCGGCCATATTGACTCGATCAAAATACCGCATCATAAAAAAAAAATACTTCATCATCTTTTGTTCCTGCAAAAAAAACATTTTTTAATAAAATCTCAACAACACCGTACCCTAATCTTCTAGCGTAAAAAATGTTTCTGTATTATGGGACGGAGGGAGTATCTAGTCTACAATATCCGTACCCTATGCATAGCATATGAATAAATTTCATGATTAAGTTGGATGGATCCGCGTGCTACATCGGACTGCCAAGAGCTGCTGGCCATCAGATCAAATCCTAGGATGTACTGGATCCTTCCACGTGTAATATAGGTACATTTTTGGATTTGGCACGTGCACGTGCTTCACAGGGAGTCTGTGCCGCGCAGCTACCTCGAACCACCGGCAAGAACATCTCGACTCTTCTCTTCCCCCTTCGTCGCTATGCATTTCGTGAATCCACCCCTGCATCACTTTGCAGACTGTCGGTTCGATCGTACATACGCCGACATCCTAAGAGTGTCTCCATATCCTGGAAACCGGTTCATCCATTATAATAACCGCCGATATAGCGGATGGGGCCGATTTCCCATCCCGAACGGACTCTATAAAATCATTCACCCATTAAATTTTCTTGCGGGATCATGCATAGTTTGGGCCTATTCCGCTATATCTATCGGACCCCTCCATCTTTTTACATGGACCTGCAAAACAAAAAACGGTTGACGGGAAGAAACTTTCGGCTCCCGCCACGGTCTTCCGGCCGCCGCCCGCGAGCTGCCGACGTAGATTGCGAAACGCCAAAACCCCCTGCAATGACGTCCAAATCATCGTCGATAACACTGGGGTAGAACGAGTGGAACGACGACGGGGAGAGACTGAGCTCGAGAATGCCCGGGAAGTGTGCTGCCAGGCGGCACAACATGGACGGACCGGCACACGCGCGTAGGCGGCGGCGCTCGGAGCTCTGGATCCAGAGCTAGCGCCTGCACACGAGCCTGAACGCGTTGCGCTCCGACTCGGCCCTAGGTGAGTCAGCCACTCTGGTGCTCTCCCTCGCTGGCGAGTGAGCACACAGATGCCGGCGCCCTCCACGACCTTGTTCTCGAACCTGAAGAACCCCACCCTGCCGCGCTCATATATACGCGCATACATTCATCCCTATGAAAGCATACATGCACACTCTACTCCTATGAGCATCTCCGAGAGATTGAGCCGGCAAATCGTCTTTAAATTTTACAAAGTCACCCTAGCAGCCTCGTAGTCAACGGGAACGTCCCGTTTCACTGAACGCGTGTCGCCGAAAATCCTGAAATAAATCCAGGATAAATGCGAGCACCAGAATTTGAACTTGATAGGCTGGGGATACCACTGTTCATCTAATCCAACCACAGATTGGTTCAATTATGGAATCTATTCTACCGGAACACATGTCATATCGTAAAAATGTAGTATAAAAAGACGTTTTACCGGAAGTTGTATATCGTTTTACAGTACGAGATTATAGGGGATCGGCTAGAGGCGTTCTAATCCATTAGAGCATCTCCAGCCGTTCGGCCCCCAGGGCGCCTAAAAAGAGTGGCCTGGGGGCGAACCGATGCTAGATTGGCCCTTGCGGGCGACCTAGCTCCCAGTCACGCCCCCAGGCGCCATCCCCAGGACGCGGCAGTTTCGAACTTGGTCGTTTCTGCTCATCACAAAAGATATTGCAAGTCCGGCGATCATAGGCCACCACAATCCGGCGATCGTAAGCCATAGTTCGGCGATCGGATAATAAATGGTCCGACGTACAAAAAAAGAACGCCACAAGTCTGGACGCGTACATCACTCGGCGGGGGCGGCCTCCGGCATTGGCGTTGCTTCTGTGCTGGGCGGCGTCGGCGCGGCTTCGATACTAC